AAAAAACGAGAATAGTATACTATTATATAGATGACAGAAATAAATATTATAGTCAAGACTTTACCTACCCTGAAAACATAAGATTATATTATAAAAAATATTCTGACACAAACCAGAAGAAACCTGAAATAGTTGCACTATATTTTAAGTTCAAAAGAGGCAATCCTATAATATCTCATATGTTTGATTTAATGAACCCAGTAGGTTCTATTTATACATCTATGGAAGCAAGAGGTCCTCAAGTAATGTTTGGTGTTGGTGCATGGGAACAAATAGTCGACAGGTTTTTGTATTGTGCAAACTCTTCAAAGGAAACAGGTGGAAGTAAAACGATTTCAGGTGAAAATTTACCTGCGCACAGTCACTACATAGATTTAAGTACATCTCAAGCAGGTTGGCATAAGCATAGATATTGGGATTGGTCAGGAATGACAAAAGGTCAAGGATATGATGTTAAAGACGACGTTAAGTTTGCTATAAATTGTTACTGGGATGACACTCAGGGAGAAGGAAACCATACACATCGCGTTTCAGGGTATACGCAAACAACGGGACAAAGTAAAGACTACATGCCACCTTACATGACAATTTACGCATGGTATAGAATTGCTTAGTCGTCATTTTCAACTTCTTTAGCATATTCGTCAGGAGTTGTCTTATATTTGTTAGGAACTGTCTTTGAAAGTATACCACCTTGAACTTTGACAAGTTTGAAAAGAGGTCTGACAATAGTAGTTTTATCTTCTGCTTGCAGTCTGTACATTTTGCCATGTTTGCCTAAAACTTCATAATATTCTCTTGTATACTTTCTTCTATTTTTACGAACACGAATGTGAGTACCTGTCGGGTTCCCATTGTTGTCATAGTCAATAGTATTTTCATATGGGTCGCGTTTAGGTATTTCTATTTTTACTTTGTCACCTTTCTGAAGTTTGAAGCCCGGCATTCTTTCTTGTTTGTCTCTTTTGACTAAATTATTAAATATATAGTCTTTCTCTAAGTCAGGGTTGTTTTTCATTTCTTCGGGGGAGTGGTTTCCCAAACCTTTTTGTTTACGGCTATTGTAAATATTTAAAACTTGTCTCATCTTTGCCTGGGAGAAGTGTCTATATTTGTCGTCATATGACATTTCATTTGCTTCACCACCTTGTGGTTGGTTTAAGTCTCTTAACATTTTTATACATCCGTCAATGACACCAAGAGCAGAATGGTTTTGGTCGACAATGAAATATTGGTTTACATTTTTTGAACGCAGATAGTTTTTAATATCGTCTGATTTGAAAGAACTTTCACAGTCAGATGTTAGTTTTGTTGGATGGTATTTGTCAACAAATATTGTCAAAGCTGCTAAGATATCTAAAATATTTTTGGACTGTAATGGTATGGCTTCACAGTATCTTGTGTTTTGACCGACAAATATTAGCCAGTATGGTGGTCCATCTGTTCTAACTCTCGGAATGTTTTCCAAGATATCCATAAACCAAGCATTTGGTGTTGAACTAAAGATTTTTATCATGAGTGCTTTCTTTGTCGCTTTAGAAACATAGGGGTCCTTGTTTGGATTCGTCATTTTTTAACCCATAAGAAATGGGTTTATTTGGCGCGTTAGCAGGAGTTGCATCTAGATTTTTACCCGCAGTGGGAACAATAGCCAGAGGTGTATTTGGAATTGGAAGGAAGATTTTGAGTACATTAGGTATACTTAAAGAGAAAGCACAACCTATTATACAAACTGTACAGAAAGGTTGGGATGTAGCACGAGATGCAACAAATCTTATTCCAAATCCTGAAACAAGAGGAAAAGTTCAAGGATGGATGGACAATGTAGGAAGACAAGCAGGAAACTATTATAACAAAGCAAATGACTACTATAACCAAGCAGGACACTATATGGACCAAGGTGAAAGATTCTTTAACAGAGGATATAACCATGCACAACAGTGGGTAAACAATAACCAACCTCAACCGCCTCAAACGTGGGGAATGTAAAGTTTTTTACTGAGATGAAATGAACAATACAGCATTGAGACAAATGGGTTCAAGATGGATTTGTCGGCTTCCAGCAGTTACACAACGTGTTTGTCAAGTTCTTCCTATACCTCAGGAAGTTTTAGACCGACTTAAAAAACAACAACAACCAGTTGAAAACAAACCAAACTAAAATTTTTTACTGAGATGAAATGACCGAAGAAGTTGAAACGGTAGATTTGACACCACAAACAAAAAGTTCAGAACCATTGTCAAAACCTGTCAAAGAACTTACAGATGAAGAGAAAAATTCAATAATAGAAAGTGCCAGGTCTGGAAATACAAACTCTAACTATAAAGTCACTTTTCATAAAAATGGAACGGCAAGTATCTCAAAAAAGAAACAGACTCTCACAAATAAAATATTGAAGTCTGAAGGAGCTTTCGAGACAACAGATGGAAAAGTTTACTTCACTGACCAACAGTTCATTATAGAACATCTCATTGACTTAGAGTCGAAATATTCTAAACTTTACAACAAACACAAAAAGTTGAAAGGAAAACAAAAACAAATGGCATATGATATTTATGAAGATGTTGACGACACAACTGTTCCTGCAAGTGAAGTAAAGTCAGAGGAACCGAAAAGTGACGAAAAACCGATAGAAGAAGAGAAACCAAAAACTGAAGATAAACCAAAACCAAAGTTTAGTTTCCAAACTAAACCAAGTCAACCTTCATTAGCTGGTATGGGTTGGCGTCAAAGACTTATGGCAGCAGGCGGTTATGTAAAGTAAAGAAAAAATATTTTTTTATTTTTATAAAAATGCCCCATATAGAATGGATAGAAAATCTGCTAGAATAAAAGCAGAGTTGCAAAGATATGGTTGGAGAGTTTCGAAGAAGTTTAAATATAGGAAGGGAAGACCCATAAAAGTCTATGACAAATTGTCTGGTCTTCGCTACGAAATGGATTTGGAAACAGCACGTGCAAATTATCCAAACAGACTAGAGAGGTTAGAAGAAGAACGTCTTATGGACATGCCTTTCGATGTTAGTGAACCTCAAGTTGAAGGACACGACGGCTTTGCCAGATTCTACTGGAAACATGACGAACAATTGCATCCTTTGAGAAGGAAAAAAGGAAAAGGTGAAGACACACATGCTCCCATGGAAAGAACAAGATATGCATATGAGAAGTACCGTGAAGTTAGAAGTCAAATTACATCCGGTCGAACCTTTACAGTAAACTTTGACGAAGGAAAGAACAAAGAAGGCTTCATGGGTGTACTTGCTGCCATACAAGACGGAAATAAGAAAGGACACAATCTCAGATTGACCATAACAGATTTGGATGGTCACATTTACTATGCACATGGCAATGAACAAACAGCCGCAAAACTTCTTGACGCTTTCAAGACTACAAAGAGAGAACAAATGGTTGACTCCGACTCAGACATTTTGAATGCAATTGAAGGAATTGCAAGTATCAAGTTCGAATGGTACCAACCTAACCCTCAAGCAGTCAGACAACATGCTGGATACTTCCCCTTCATAAATAAGTCTGACATTGACTTGACAAGGTATGGAATTTACAATTCAATTGAAACAATTGTCAACGAACCTTGTATTCTTACATGTCTCAGGAACTCTGGTCTTGTTTCAGAAGAGAAGATGAAGTATCTTGAGTCATGTGTGAAGACAAGGTACATTCTCAGAGGTCAATTGGCAAAAATTGCACCGTTGGCAAATGTCAATATCCGAGTCAACATACCTACAGCTAAAGGTTCTTCACATGACGACTATGTTGTTGACTTCAAATTGCCATGGTTGAAGATTGTAATTGTCCACAACCACTTCATGTTGAACGAAAGTCTTACAAACCCATTGTTCGGAAAAGGCAAGTGCAACATTGTCAGAGCTGTAAACATTCTTTTCGAGAAAGGTTTGTTGGAACCAATTCCAGATGACAAGCTGACAGAAACTTTTGTACCAAAAGACGAAACAAACTTTTCACTGTTAGCAAGACCAAAAGTTGTTCCAGACAAAGTTCTAGTACAAAAGAAGTACACAATTCCACAAGGAGTTGGATTGTTCGGATACCAACCTGAACCAGAAGAACTTCCAATGAGGTTGCAAGAACTTCAAGATGCTATAAACAAACTTCCATTGAGACATCCAATTGACGTCAAATTGTATTGGAGAGCATCTGAGTTAGGTCAGAAGGTTTTATATGAAACAGGTTGCTTCGACGATGTTTATGAGATAACAGGAGAAGTTTCTCAGAAGATAAGAGACTCACTTGAATTTCCACAAACTGGACCAATTGGTTGCGACAAGTTCGACTCAGATGAAAAGATATACTATGTCGACCTTAACGCTGCGTACATGAGGTTTGTCCAATATATTCCGACTGGAATTCCAAACGAAGATGGTGAGTTCCCGGAAGGAACTATACAGTTGGAAAAGTCATACAACAACTGTATGATATTAGGAAAGCTTCAAACCCCAAACTTGCAATGACACTCAAATTGCTTATGAATTCGACATGGGGATATTCCATTAAGAAACCTCAAGAGATGAAGAGTAAACATTATGAGAAGGTCGACAACTTTGTTGAAAGGTTTTCTCCTTTTGTTTTGAAGTACGAGTTCACTCAAGGTCAAAGTGGCTTAGTAACCACATTAAAACCTATTGTCGAACATTGGTCTTACCCTCAGTTCGCAAAAGCAGTCCTTGACGAGTACAACAAATTCTTCTCCGAAGTCAAATCCAAAGTGAAGGTTTACTATGAGAACATTGACGCACTTATGACGAACGAAGAAGGATACAACAAACTCATTGAAATGGGTTTAGTCGGTGAGAAGATGGGCTGTTTTAAGCTAGATAAGGTATTTTCCGAAGTTCATGTCCTCTCCAAGCGTAAGTACTGGGGTATACTTGAAGACGGCACAGAAATAAAACATTGCATGAAGTAAAAAATTGCATGAAGTAAAAACGTTTTTTAAACCATATATTTTTACATATATTAAATGCTTCAGGTTGAAAAACAAAGAACAAAAGTAGCAGATACAAAACCGTTAGACTATATCTTTACAAATGCTGGTAGGACTATTTCAGATGAAGAAATTTCATCCCGAGCATACAGGTTTGACTATCCAATTCGTTGGCTTCAAAGTCCTTCAGATGCAAAGGCAATAGGATTTAGAAGAGTTTTGTTTTCAAATAGAACTAACGCGTTTATGTTCGCAGTATATTTTCATGGGCAGTATAAAGGTTCTGATGGTCTAATAGACAAATTTGATGAAATGAGGATCTTTACAGTTCGTTCAGACGAAAGTCTTGAGAAAACTCTAAATGACTTTCAAACTCAAATGAACAAATACTATTGGGAATTTCAAGAAAAATACGACTCTTTACTAAATGGAACATACTATCTGAAACTAGAATATGACAAGATGAACTCCACCGTTTCATTTCAAAAGATTGAAATTAACCCTCCAAGAGATACAGAGTTTTTATTTTGGAAAGTAGACAAACGTTCTTGGGCACAATTTCTTCGGTTACTAAACCAGAACGAACCATTACCACCAGATGGTCCATTTAAATTTATACTTCCACCAGCAGATTTGACAGTTTATAGAAACGTGTTTGACCCTCAAAATGTTATGTGTCATGCAAGTTTCAGTTCAAGCAACAATAGTTTTCTATGTATTGGTAAGGACGTTTATGACTTTGCTTCTAAATTCTACGAACCACCTAGTAACAGTTTCTCTGACTTTCAAGTTTGGTTCACAACAAATGGTGTGCAGCATATTATACCATTGTACTATGACTTTTATCTCGAATTGTCTTTCATATACAACTACGGAAAAGTGCTGAAAAAGTATTGAAAAATATATTTTAGGGTAGCATGTTAGATCTCACCTGTTTTTTCACCTAATTTTTCACCCTCTTGAATTTTCATGAGGGTAGAAATGAAGGGGTCACCATGTCACTCGGTCACTCGGTCATTTAACATCTTTTTGAAAATGGTGACAACATGACATTTTGACAACAGTCGGGAAAATGTCAAGACTTCTTCATCGTAATGAGTGTAAATGAACCAAAAATATATTTTAGGTGAAGAGGTGAGATCTCACCTGTTTTCTCACCTCTTTTCTAACATCGTAGAAAACTCATGAAATTCCTTAAGATAGAAAAAAAGTGAGTTAAAATGAGATGTTTACTGAAGGGGTCACCATGTCACCATGTGTCACCAGGTAAACTAACTTCTTTTAAAAAATGAGACAACATGACATTTTGACAACAGTCGGGAAAATGTCAAGACTTCTTCATCGTAACGAGTGTAAATGAACCAAAAATATATTTTAGGGTAGATGGTTAGATCTCACCTCTTTTCTCACCCTCTTGAATTTTCATGAAATTCCTTAAGATAGAAAAAAGTGAGTTAAAATGAGATGTTTACTGAAGGGGTCACCATGTCACCTTCTGTAGTTATGTAGAATGGTTGACCAGAGAAGTGTAAGAGTCCTCGGAGAATTTGGTTCATTCTTGGGAAAGGGTTCTCTCTGTTTGGAAGTAGTATCCAAGGACGCTTGGCAAAGAACTTGAGAAGAGCTTCTTTCTTTGCTTGCTTTATGTCGTCGTAGGCTGTCCCGTCTGGTATTTGAATTGGAATTCCGGTTTCAATTTCGATTTTCAGCGCACCTCTTCCAGACAACCAGAAGCCGAGGGACTTGTTGGCTTTGTCCTTGCCCAAGTACTGCTTAACAACTTCATTTATCTCTATAAGGTAAATTGCCTCATCTAATGGCTCGATGTTGTCCATTGTTCTGTTTCAGAACAATACTTGTTCTGTTTCAGAACTAGTCTTGTACTTTTTCAGAACAATACTTGTTCTGAATCAGAACAATATTTGTACTGTTTCAGAACAAATTTCCCGTAAAAGCTCTCAATTTGTGAGAAAAATTTTCTGTTTCAGAACAATATTTGTTCTGTTTCAGAACAATATTTGTACTGTTTCAGAACAATATTTATACTGTTTCAGAACAATATTTGTACTGTTTCAGAACAATATTTGTACTGTTTCAGAACAATATTTATACTGTTTCAGAACAATATTTGTACTGTTTCAAGACAATGTCCGACGTACCACCAAAAAATATATTTTATGTTAGCATGTTAGATCTCACCTCTTTTCTCACCTGTTTTCTCACCTCTTGAATTTTCATGAATTTCCTTAAGATAGAAAAAATAAAGTTAGTTTTTTTAAAAAAATATTTTTTATTTTTATTGTAAGAACATGTTAGCAACAACTTCACCAAACTCTTTAGTCATGAATCCAACATCTATGTTAGTAGAGATGAAAAGCTTCATTCCTTCTTCATATACTTTTGAAACAGAAATCCAGAAGATAAAGCAGGAACTTTTAACAAGTACTTTGGACTGTTGTGCAAAAGATGAAACAAATGAACAGTATCTTTATGAAATGGAGGACCTCATCGACCATCTACCTAAACTTCCTGAAATACAACAACAAAAGCTCACTATTCCTGAATTCGATGAAATAGAAGTAAAAACAACCGACTCAGTAGAAATAAAGAAGTTCATACGAAAGGTAAACTATGAGTTTCTTGGATTTCATTGCAACCACAAAGTCATGGACAAAGATTGCGACATGGTATATAAGAACATCTCTGACATATATAAATCTGAAGAATTTAAGACCTACGACAACTTTGTTTCGTTAGTTGCTGAATGTGTATGGCAGATAAGAGATAAAGATAGAAGAGGTAAAGTATGGAACGAACAAATAAAACCTGCATGTTTTGAGTTAAAGAAAACCATTGACGCTATAGTTGTACTTGCAGGACAAATTTCAATGTACAATGCTAAAATGAACCCGCAATGTTCTAAATGTAAAGCGGCAATGAGGAGATATAACTACTCCGTCAAAGAGATAGAACGTATGCGAAACGACTATGCTGACTTAAAGAAAGAAGTAGAGAAACCAGCAGAAGATAAAATGGACATGTTAGAATTTCTGAACAAAAACTATCCAACAGCTGACGATTTCCTTCTATCTGATGTCAAGAAGAAATATAAAGAAACATTCGGCATTGTGAAAACATTCGATGTACTAAAAGAAGAAATAGAAGCTACAAAACTGTTTAGAATTTCAAATATACATCGTACAATTCATGTAAAACGCTTGTGAAAAAAACAGGTGAGAAAAGAGGTGAGAAAACAGGTGAGATCTCACCTCTTCACCTAAAATATATTTTTGGGTCATTTACGCTCATGTTTGACAAAACATTTACACTCATTTCGATGAAATCATGACAAAACATATACGAAGAAGTTTATTTCCTGGACTGTTGTCAAAATGTCATGTTGTCACCATTTTCAAAAAGATGTTAGTTGACCGAGGGACCGAGTGACCTGGTGACACCTAAAAACCATCTACCCTAAAATATATTTTTGCCGAAAAAAATGACCAAATTTCATTATATAACTGTTATTTTTTTACCAAGTGAACTTTGACACTTCGTCAAAAAAATCCCTAAAATCGTAAAAAAATGACCAAATTTCATTATATAACTGTTATTTTTTTACCAAGTGAACTTTGACACTTCGTCAAAAAAATCCCTAAAATCATATCTTTTATACAAGATAGAAAAAATAAAGTTAGTTTTTTATAAAATATTTTTTTATCTTGTATGTAAGAAACAGAAAATGACAAACATTGAGTTTGAAATAGTTAAAAAGATAGACAATGACACCAAAATGGTTAGAATTGGTGATTTAAACGTAAGATACTCAAAGAAATACAAGAAATATTCTTTGTCAGACATTATATCTCCATCTGGAAAGAGAGCATTCGACTGGGTTAGAATTGCTTCTACTCAGAAAATTTTGACAAGAAATCCTGAGCTTATGATATCAGTAGCATTTCATGGAACAAGAGCATATCTTATAGACAAAAGTCTTATACCAATAGTTTTGTTATGGTTAGACCCAGTTGTTGGATATAACTTCATAACATATGGTTCATTCGATACGGAACGTTGCAGTGAAGGCTTACTTTACATCGTTCAGAAACCGAAGGACTTCAATACAAAAAGATATAAGATAGGAAGAACATATAATATAACTCTAAGATATGACAGTACAGTCAATAGAGTCAAGGTTGTGTTTGTTAACGATATGAGAGCTGCTGAAACAGAACTACTTGAAAAGTTTGAGAAAATGTATGGTGCTCCCACGAAAGGTAAAGAAACGTTTGAAGTAGATGAGATAGATAAAGCTATAAAATTATTTGACGAAGTTGCTGAAAAATACATGTAAAGCGTTTATTTTTGGTCTTTTGTGAAAGTCAGGAAATAACGCTAATTTTTTATAAAATATTTTTTTTATTTTGTATGTAAGGACAGATATGTCAACATCAGAGAACACAACAACAGTTATAGTCCATGAAGCTATAAATGAAGAATACGAGTGGGTTCAGTTTAACAAACAACTCCGTCTCATTCGTTCGGTCAAAGATGACATGTACCAAATGCAAAGTATTTTGAATGCTCTTCGTTCTACAAAGCAAGCATATCATTGGTTTGAAAACCAACAGACAAAAGAACTTTTAGAAGAATTTCCTCATATGTTTGCGACCCTCGAAAAACCGAGGAACGAGATTCCATACGAAAATCGTAAAAATTTGCCAAATGGTTTGAAAGGATATTATGTACATAGACTTTTAGTAAATGCTGTAGCAATGTGGGCTTCACCTCGTTACGCTTGTTATATTTTCATGATGTTAGATGAAATTCATAGACAAGAACGTGAAGAGATGGAAAACAAGCTTGAAGCAAAAGACAAAAGCCTTCAGAAAAGAATACCACGTTCGGTACCAAAAGGAAAGGAAAAGAACTATAAGTATATGATTTATACTGAAGAGATGGAAAATGAAGAAGACAGAGATATGGTTATGTTGCATTTAGTCAGAAGAAACAACAAAAGCTTTTACGACCTTGCTAAGATTTACAAATCTGACAGAAATTGGTTCTATCGCGAAAACTTACCGATTTCAATGACACCGAATGAAGATGTGAAACAAATAGTTCAAGATACGTTACCTCAAACACACTATGATATTAAAGGTTGTACAATACTTACCTTCAAAGAAGATTTGCCGCTACTGAAAGAAAAAATAACAGAGTATTTTGACAACTTCAAACAAGTAGAGTAAATGCACTCTTTATTTTTCAAGCTTGACTTTTTACAATTTGAACTTTGTTTGCGTAGATGTGAATTCTGAAAGAAGTATGAGGGTCTTGTATGACTTTGTACTTCTCCCATAGTTCATGTCTGTCAAACTTACCTGCCATGGACTCTTTCATAAGTTCCATGAAATCGTCTTCGGACAATCCGGGGAAAAGTACAATGTCAGTAAGTATTCTCTTTACATCCTTACTTAAACTCTTGGCTGTCTGTACACAAATGACAACTGAGATGTTAAAGTGTCTGAGCTTCTTAAGAATTCGACACATGTCTTGTTCTCTGTTCTTTAACAAAGGATGAGAAGCAAAGTCATCTAAGATAAGAAGACATCTGTGAGGGTAAGTCTTCCAATCGTAAGATTGCAATTTCTTCGAAATGTATTCTATCTCTTTCTGTTTGTTTCTGAAGTGTTTCTTCTCTAATATTCTCTGCATTTCCTCATTTGGGTCTTTGAACTTAGAATTTATATACTCATTTATAGCATTATACTTCAAAACTCTTCTTTGGTACTTCTTTATCCAATCTAACAACTCAGAGTCTTTTATACATACTAACTTAGACTTCTTTATAATATCTTTGAACGAATTGACGGTTTGGTCAAATTGACCAGAAGTACTACAAATGACAACTAACTCATAGAATGGGTTCTTCTCATCTAGTTCTTGTTGTTGTGCAGCCATTTTAAGATAAGTGAAAGTCTTACCAGACCCAGGTGGTGCAATTAGACCTGTTATACCATTCTGAGCAAATAAGAACTTGTCATGTATGGGTTTTATCTGAGCATTTTCCAACTTCACCTTGTTCTTGTTTAAAACATTCTCAAATTTTTTGTCAATGTCAGCAAACTTTTTTTCTAACATATTTTTAGAAAAATTAAAATTTTTATCTTTTAGAAAATGTCTAGCGATTTCGCTATCTATATTCGAGACAAACTTTTCGACAGCAAAACATCTGTCGACCATAAAATCTTACATAGTGTAAACAAGAAAGGTGAATTTGTTCTAAAGTTCTGTTTCTGGGAATATGACAAGAACCATAAAACATTAAGCAGAGCAGTCTTAAAATTTGTCAATGACAGACTTGTTGACAGAGATGACGCCTCTTGGAGAGATGAAGTCCAACAAAACTTCTTAGAATGCAAAGAAGACACATGCACTGTTCTTGAAGATGAAATAGAAAACAGAATAGAAGAGCTATTAAAGGACAAAGAACTTTTACAAAAATATGGTTCTGAGAAGTTTGACATAACTCCACCAGAAAAGAAGAAGAGAGAAAAGAAAGAAAAGAAAGTAGAAGAAGAAAAGAAAGAACCAGAGCCAGAGAAGAAGAAATTTGACATGTAAAAATAAAATTTTATTTTTAGAACATTTCTGGGTCAATGTCAATGTTCTCTTCCTCTTTAGGAGCAAACACTGGCTTAGACTCTAAAATCTTTTTACCCAATTTACCTTGAACTTCTACAACTTTAGACTCATAATATTCATAGTCGTCTGCTTTCTTTGGTTCATAAGGTATAACAAGTTTGTATGCTTTACCTTCTTCGAGTTTTGAGAACCTTCTGTCAAAACTTTCTTTGACTGCTAACAAACCTTCTATGTCTAAGTCTTCAAATTTCGCACCATTTTTAGTCACAATAGCAAACTTAACTGGTTCGATGTTCCAAACTTTGCTGAATGAAGACTTTTCAAAATGGTAGAAGTAAACATTCAAATATGTGAATGGGTCTAGTTCTTCTTTAAGTCCTGACATGTACTTGTTTACTGAGATGAATTTTGTCATCTTTTCTATCGGATAAAAAAAATATTTTTTTTAAAAATTTACTCAGAAAAATTTTTCTTTGTATATACACCATTCTGTACGTCTAAAAGACTTTTGACATTTGCCAAGAATGTTCGTTTAGACGCTGTCATATAACCATACTCTTGACAATATTGTTTATACGAATCGTACAATGACCTTTCATCTAAACACTCAAAGTCAGTTTCATCTATGAACAGTTCATATACACTCTTGTTTGCTTCTAACAATGTTTGTCTCTCTTCGGTATGTGGAATTTGTCTTGGATTGAACTTAGAAATATCTAATGTCATGAAATATGAGAACAAGTGGTTGTAAAAGTCAGATGTCAAAGTTTCTGCTAAGTCGTCAAAATATTCTGTATCTTGCATATGAGAATCTGACGTTCTGACAACTACATATCTTCTGTCAGAACTTTCTAACTTCATCGGAACAGCATTGTTTGAAACCATAATGAAGTTTGCAACATTTTCACAAACTCTTTGGTCTTTATACTTTCTTTCAACAACTCCAACTTTGTCTGTTATAAGACTCTTCAAAGCATCTGAGTTCAAAACTTTTGTTGTATCTATACTTTGAAGTTCGTTACATACTATAAGTTTCATATTCTCTATTGAAGAGTTAAATTTACCACAGATGTTTTCTAAGTTTGTCATATTCGGGTTCGAATAACCTTCTAACAGTTTGCACAAAATATCTGTAAAGAATGTGTTCTTACCTGTTCCTTGTTTTCCAATTATAATGAGAGCAGTTTCATTTTTAGCACTTGGATGTTGTAAGATGTTTGCAAACCAACATAAGATATACTCATAGACTCTTTTCGTTTCCATTGCATATAATTTCTTTGACATGGTCTAACCAAGCTTCTATAATATTTTCTTTCCATTCTACTTGTTCGTATTTATATCCAGTGAAGATAGAATAGAAGTTTGGAGAAGGTGTATAGAACTTTATACCTCGAACTGAAAAATCTTCTAACTTTGACAATAAGATATCCCAAGCATCTAACATCTTCATGCCAACTTGTACGACTTTTATTTTCTTAAGTTTCTGTTTACATTCTTGTTCTGAAACTATTGTTGCTCTTGGTTTGTTAAAGACTACATCCCATTCTTTCATAACATAACATTCTGGGGCAGATCGACATAAATGACTAAACGTTTCAAATTCTCGACTGCTTTGTTATAGTCTCGAAATGGACACATATTTCTGAACGCTTGGAAGTCATAAAAATCTGAAACATCTATTCTGTACATTTTTATAAAAAAAAAAAAATATTTTTTTTATTCTTGAGCTATTTGTTGTTCTTGAGCTATTTGTTGCATTTGTTGTTCTTGAGCTATTTGTTGTTGAAGTTGTTCTTGTAATACAATACTTTCACCAGTTGCATCTTCCAATTCGAAACTTTCTGCCGTCATTGACAAATACATAGGACATAAAAGTTTTACAGGAACAAAGTTTGCGTCAACTAATGTCAACGTTATACTTGCCAAAGTGTTTAAGTTCACTAAGGTTGAAAATTCTGCATTCGAATGAACAATAGGCAAACCAGCAGAGAATGTTATTTATACGCATAAGTATCTTTTGGTCATAGTAGTTTCTGTCGACATTCGAATAGCACTTTGAACCTAAGTTTGAAACAATATATAAAATAGGTGTGCTTAAAGTCAATGGAACAGACATTCCTTGTATGACACCTTTTCCTGTTATAGGAAACTGTTGGTAGTAAAAACCAGATATAAGTTTTGTATTATAGCTCATATTGTTTATAGTAAACTCAGTCGGACATCCAAACATAATGAAACCTGCTCTAGTTGCAGCACATGTTACACTCGTCCTTAAAGTATTAAATAAGTCAACAAAACCTGTTGGTGGTATATCTGAGTAAGTATCTTCAAAGGAGTATTTTTTACCATTCACAACAATAAAATCTTCTGGTGTCAAAAGAGCAAAACGGCTTTAGTCGTCATTGTGTTTAAAGTTAGTTTACAATATCGTCCTTGAGGACTTTGTAAGTTTGTTGTTATAGAATTATATGACTCAGGGTTTTTAGTCGTAATAGTATAAACCACTATGTCTTCTGCCATTTTACTTAGCAAATAAATTTTAATGAAATTTGTGTCGTCAAATATTTTTATAACGTCTGGGAAACTATATTTTAAGTTCAACGTTTCACCTCCTTTCATAACGTATATCTTTCAATGACATTATATGAAACACCACAGCAACTAACGTCGGGTTCTATTTCTTTGATGTTTATATCGTCTGCCTCTGTCAAAAGTTTCAATAGTTCTTTCAAAACTTCATGAGGTGCAATGACATATGAGTTCACTTTTACAGGTTGTGTTCGACCAAGTTTAACATTATACCTAAAGCTTGACAAATCTTCTCCTGAGTTTGAAGTTTGTTTTTCAGTTGTTGGTAGTCGTTTCGAATATCTGCAACAGAACTTAAGTCTCTGCTAACTTCAGGGTATGTTGGTTGTTCTTTTACAGGAACTATTGTTATACCATCTTGGTCTTCGTATGGTTTCCCACTTCAACATCTCTTTCTTTGACATTGACAACAACACTTTGACTGTTTGTTTGAGTTGGTGAATTTAACTTCACATCTGCCACCGCCATTAACCTTTTGAAACACTTACGCTTCTATTTTTCGGAAATGACATTTTACTTAGAATAAAAATATGGACGTATTTCGAGTATCTCTTCGAATTGAAGCAGAACAAAGTTTACACACACAAACAATACAAATACATTGACAGAATAGTTCTTTATACAAACAATGGAAAATGTTATAGAATAGCAGTCTTTGCTGAACCAAAATATTTTCATAAAGCAAAGAAAGTTGGTATAACTGAAATGGTGAAAGTTCTTGAAGCAGACAAAATATAACAACAAAACTTACAGATATTTCTAAAGGTAAGTTTATAATACAATTTTATGTCAAAACTGGCGTACTGTCAATATTTGACGGAGAGAAGTCAGTTCAAGAACAACTTACTGACCTGCTGCCAAAATCTGCTCGATGGAAGCTGTCGTTATGCCAATCTGAGGAGCCCCAGCAGGTTTCATCGAACGAATCTTCAAAAGAGCATCTTCCGTGAAAGTGCTATTGGTTTTGTAAACTTCTTTGCTTTCAATTCATCTGGACCGTCTCTGTCACCAGTATATTGTATTTGAACTGTACCAACAGTTGAAATACCACCCATAAAGTCTTCTGAGTCAGCAAATGGAATGCCAAGCAAAAGTTTGAGATGGTCTCCATTTGTATATTGAGTTTTTTGACCTCCTGTATGGGTCCATACTTTCACATATGGCATAATAGAACTTTGCATTTCAGGGTTAATGGTTGTTGTGAATTGTTGTTAAGTTCATAGCATCTAATGTCAAGTTGTATGACCTCATATCTTCAACTGTAGAATATTCTTCTCTTGGATAATATTTGCCATCTATGTTTATATGATATTTAATACCAGGGTTGTAGAAACAAGAATAGTCATTTATAGTTTCGTCTGAAACAGTACAAACATAGTATCTGCATGTTTCATTGCAGTTGTTAAAGCAATATCTGTTCTTGCACCTGGGTCAGCAACTTTGGTTTCCAACTTCACCTGCAAAGTCTTTGACAGATATTTGGTGTATAGGGAACATAAGTGGAACGCAAATATATTTGGCAGCTAAAGCATTTGAAATATCTGGGTCCAACATATAGAGTGCAAGTCTGCTTTCTATTCTCTTGCATTCAAATTTTTCGCATGTGTGAACTTAACTGGGTCCCAAGCAGTTCCCAGCAGCATTGAAATATAAGTTTACTTCAGTGTTGAGTTTGAGAAACCAAAGTCTAAGTCAACTTTGTCTTTGCAAAATTCGGCGAATGACGTTTTATTTGTTCCCTCTACGTCTGTAATAGTGAATGGGTCTTGTGTTGGTGCAATGACTAAGTTATTTTTGCTTGGAGTAAGTTCAATAGAAATTTTTCCTGCCCAGTTTGGCAAGTATCTTAAAAACCTGAAGATGAGGAAAGATGACAAAGGAACTCTAAGTTTTCAGTTTTACTTTGGTTACTGCTGCTGCAGTTTGTCCAGAAAGGTTAACATAAACTCCTGGAACGTTAGGGTCAAGTCTTCTTATTTTCTCAATAGTTGCATATTGGTCTGTTTGTTCTCTAGCTTGTGGTTGTACTGAGTTTCTCAAAGCGAACCATTCATAGTTTGCCCATGTTACTGTTTGAACTAAGTCAGAGTTAGATATATCTTATATCCCATGAAAACTTCTGGAGCATATTGGTATCCGACATTAGAAAATTCCATTGCAACCTTTCTTGTCAGACAACTTGGCAGAAGTTTTATTTCAATGTCTTGTTCCACGTATAAGAATGAGTTGTCAATAGAAATTATATGAAACCTGTCGCAAGCAATATCTACTGTTGTTGAAGAACCTTCTCCAAACTCACCTACGTTTCCATAAGAAACAGCAGTTGTATATTCGTAAGTTCCAGGAACTATTTCTGACCTTCTAATGGCATTGTCGCATTCGTTATACCATTCGGAAACATTTCCGTTCATGGCATCCAAAACTGTTGGCGTTATATTCTGAGCGGCGTACATTTCATATGGGTAAAAATATAGAATAGTTGAATTTATGTGTCATAATAGAACCCACTCGTACCAAGCTTTACTTTCTTCCTGACTGAGTTTTTAACTCTTCTTTTTCCTTCATTGCCACTACTTTCACTAGATGAAGTTACTTCTTCACTACTTTCACTTTGTTCTACTCTTCTCTTCTTCTTTGGTAACTTGCCCTCTGCTTCAAGTTGTTGCATCTTTGCCTCATGTTCACCTAGTATGTTGTAAATTTCCCATGTCCTTTTTGCCTTTGGGCTCTGGTCGCCCATCTCAGGTAACCTATATCCTAGAAAGAGTTTGTCATAGTTTGTATTTGAGTCTTCGCTTATTGTTTGCATGACTCTTTCCTGAGTTTCCGGTTCAAGCTCTTCAAACAGAGCTTGTCCATATGGAATAAGCTCGTTTCCAAATATATGTTTTTGTAGCCATTCTGGTTTTCTTTCCATGTAACCAACAATATCTTTTGTGAATGGGAAAGCTTTTACCCAACGTTTCAGGCTTGGGTCATTTATTTCTGTAGTTGGTTTTATTTTGTCAAGGAACATGTTTTTCAATACTAACATTTCATTTGGTACTGTCCATTTGAGTTTTCTTAAATATTCATCCCTTCTCAGTTCATTGTCTGCAAAGTAAGTTTTTATGACATTTTGCAAACTTTCGTTTGCAAGGTCATGTACAATAGGTTTCTCTTCCTTCTCTATCCCTAACTTTCTTTCTAAACTCTTCACCAAATATACCATCTCTATGGTTCTGTGTAGTTCTTTGAGATAAATGTTTTAGAACGTCAGGTGTTATATTTCCATCAAGCCATGTTCATTTCATACTGGTTCAAAATATCTGCATCTTTCATATCTTTCAATGGCATTAAAGCCGCGCTGAAAATACCAGCTATATCTGGTTCACCATTGACTTCCATTGCGTCTACAACTTCTTGGAATTGTGGTTGTAAGTTTATGAACCACCTATCCGGGTTAGCTTTATGACCCCATCTCATTGTAGTTCCATAGTCTGCAGAAACAAAAGTAGGTTTGTTTCCATCTTGGTTAGGTTCTGAATGAACTTTAAACAATGTTTCATTTCTATATGTTTTGTTGAAATTTAACCTTTTATTTTCACCGAGTTCAGCCAAAGATTGAACGTTATATGCTCGTAAGTAAAAAGGGTTTTGTATTTGTGTAATTTTCTTTCAGTACTTCCATTCTATGCTGAATATTTTCATCTGATGTTGGAGTCTTTTGTATGTCGGCAAACATTTTTCGATATTCTTCTACCATGTCAGCCGAATTTTTCTTAGACTCTTGGAAAGATTCCATATTCACCTCATACTCTTGTTGAGGGTCAAGATTTTTCGGCTGTTCCAAATCTTCATCTAGTTCTGTGAAGTTAGTTTCCAAAGGAGGACTTGTTCGTTTCCTTCAGGCTCTTCTAGCTGTTGTTGCTGAACTATTTCTTCCATGTCTGGTTGTATCTGAACTTCTTCCTGTGGAGTTTCTTGTACCTCATCTGCTGGCATTTCATATATTCCGAGACCGTTTTTAACAAGTTCCCTATTTAAGTCATCCGCATTCATAACCCTTTCTTCTTTCGTTCTGTCTCTATTTTTACGCGTTTCATGAAGATAGTTGAATTGTCATTTAGCTCTGACACCAAATATCTCGGAGTAAATTCAGTCATGTCATTTGGATGATATGCTATTAAATCATATCCCTTAGCGAGCTTGTATTTTCCAGGTTTGAAAATTATATCCATTTGGTGCTGAACCATAAAGCTAAATAGGTTCGGGTCAGTATTTCCTTCCTTGAACTTTCTAATAGCTTCTTTATATCTGTCACTAAAGTCAAGAGTATCTGGGTAACCATAGTCTTCTTTAAGCATTTTTAAGAAATCTTGGTTTCCTTGTTCTCTACTTCTTTTATGTCCTTGCTCTGTTTGTGGTTGTTGTTGTGGAGGTGGTTGTTGTGCAGGGTTTTGAACTGTTGGTTGCTGTGTTGGTTGTGGTGCAGTGTTTTGAACTGTTGGTTGTTGTGTTGGATTTTGAACTGTTGGTTTTGAACTGTTGGTTGCTGTGCTGGTTGTGGTTGTTGTTGTGGAGGTGGTTGTTGTGTTGGATTTTGAACTGTTGGTTTTGGTTGTTGTTGTGCTGGATTTTGAACTGTTGGTTTTGGTTGTTGTTGTGGTGCATGCCTGTGTCTGTGTCCATGTGACGATGTAAATGTTTTAGGTAGTCCTGGTGCAGGTGCTTCTCTTGGAGGGTTTGGTGGTATATAAGTTCCACCAGCTGGCACATATGTTCCATCTGCAGCATAATGTCCTACCTGACTTTTCGTTTTTAAGAAAGCATTTACTAGGTCTGTTTTGGTCTGTTGTAACTCTTTTTCTTGACTTTCCACAACAGTTGCTCTAACGGCGTCATAGGCACTTTGAACTGCCTGTCTCGTTGCTGCATCTGTTATTTTCGTCATATTTTGTGCTACTTCTCTTAACTCTTTGTCGAAACCTTCAGACTTCAGTTTCTTTCCAGATGAGAAGTCGTTCACTAGTTTCACCTTACTATGAAGAGCTTCGAAGGCGTTCTTAAAGTCAGCATTTGTTAAAGCTTCATTTGAACTGTCTTCATCCGCTTGTATTTTTGTCCTTATTGACCCTATAAGCTGGGCTGCTTTAGCGTTGGCTTGGGTATCTAACCAGTCATTGTTAGCTTTTATATATTCTGCGCTTTTCATTGCCTTTTGCATGGCTGCGTCGTTATTTTTACTTTCTTGTGCTAAGTTTTCATACTGTACGGTTTGGTTTTGCAACTGTAAAAGTTTTTCTGCCTTTACATTTGCTTCAACTTCTTTTTTATACTCATCGCTATCCATATATGTCTTCAGGGCTTTTTGTTTTATCTCTTCATCTTTCAGTACTTTATATTGAGTAGTATGGTTTTTCAAATTTACAACATCTTGTTCCATTTTTGCTACTTCTGCTGCTTTTTCTGACACTTTTTTCGCATATTCCTCTGTACTTAGTTCTTTCAGTTGTTCTTCTTTCTTCTTTTTCTCTACGTTTAACTCATTGAGTTTCTTTGTGTGTCTGTCATATTCTAGTTTCTTTTCGTTTTCACTTATTTGCTTCTGTATGTCTATGTTTGACTTTTTGACATCTGATATTTGATTTTTGAGTGAACTCAAATTCATTTGACTTTGAGGGTTATAGGCTGTTCCGTCTGCAGCTCCACCATAGCCTGCCATTTTCGCTAAAAGTGCCGCTCTTAAACCTCCACTCTGTGCACCAATAACTCTGTTTAAAAGCATAGGGTTGCTTGACATTTGTTGCAACATAGTGGGGTCATTCATCATTTGTTGTTGCAACTGTTGTTGTGGTGTCAGTTTTACTATTGGATGTTTCAATGCTCTCTTCCTCTTACGTATATTCTTACGTAGCTTACGTGGCATTTTAAGTGAAGTTAAAAAGCGGTTTTTGACAGATGTTTATATGACACCATTAATATGATGTAAATAACAACGGTTTTGGTTTTGTCACCGGCTGGTCGGCTGGGGTTCGGTCCTCCTCTACGTTCTTGTGTCCATTTCTTAGGGGCTAGAAGGGGCGCAGCCCCTGGAAGCCCCACTCACCTGACCTCATTTGGGTAGAATACTTATCGAAAATTATATTTATTATAATTTTGGTCGATAAAAATAAGCGGATTCAAAACTGGCAAAAACCCTTTCGGCAATTGAGATTGGGACAAAGTTGCAATTCGGCACTTTTTGTAAAAAAAATGGGGTCATACTCATAATGAATAGAGACTTATAGCCAAGTCTTGATATCATGCAGGGAGAATATACATTGATAAGCAATTATATTTTATAGTAGTAGTATTCAGAAATTCTTACAATTTACAATACAATTTTCAAAAATGGATAAAGACTTATAGCCAAGTCTTGATATCATGCAGGGAGAATATACATAGATAAGCAATTATATTTTATAGTAGTAGTATTCAGAAATTCTTACAATTTACAATACAATTTTCAAAAATGGATAAAGACCAATAGCCAAGTCTTGATATCATGCAGGGAGACTCTCTACAAATACAAAAATTGATTATCATAAGGAAATACAAATTTATCAATTTTCATGTGAAAATTACATAAATTTGTTCTCCAATAAATAGCAATAATATTTTGAATGTTATATTAAGTAATATAGCTTCAGGTAAATAAGCTTACACTTCAAAAATATACTGTTTATTCATTAATTTTAAAAAAAGTCCAAATTATCTAATCTTGCTTACTCTTCCTTTAAACTTCTTTGTGCCAAATTTAATATTGTCTTCAAAGATGGAATAAGGACATTAGGTTCAATCCTTCGGCTTTCGACAATTTCCAAAATGTGTTGAATTAATTTCAAACATTCATCGTGTTTTGAAGCTCTTTGCTCAACAATCTGATTACCTGCCCTTGTAAGAATTCTTACTGCTCTATCTTCATTCAAAACATTAGCGACTTGAACCTTAATAATCGCATTTGGAATCACAACAGTGATGAGAGTTATGACGATATAAAAAAATATTTTATTATACTCATTCGAAATTAAAGTTAGTATACCTAAGTCGTGTACTGTGGCACTGCGCGCCTCCGTACACAACTTAGCTGTTTTGACACTTTACGAAACCGTTAACGTATATTTTACAACACAAACGACAACACTAACTTAACCTTAAATATTTATAAAGCCGCCAACCACTTCACCTCACTAATGAAAAAATAAACGTTTTCACAAACGACTTCACTAATGTAAAAAATAAACGTTCTCACTTACAAAAGTATTGCAACTCCTCCCATTGCTGTGCTTCACATAACAGCTCATAATCTTCTGACTCACTTTCTTCTTCATATAGGTCAAAGTCACTGTCAAAATGAATGTTAGTAAGTTTTGACAAAGCTAATGAAACATGTTTACCGTTTGTATCGTATGCTTGTATAAACTTTCCATTCTTCATTCCTTCATAAACGCTCAAACTAACTTTACCCTTTCTCCCTCGTATCTGATAGAATGTATTTTCACGAGGAACGAAGAACAAATTCTTGAACTCATGACCGTTGTAGTTTGTTATCTCAATAGTTTTCGTCATTTATATAAATAAAATAAAAAATTATTTAAAAATAAACTTAAAAATTAATGATATCACCACCCTCACACGTATGAAAACATAGCGCAAAAATAAATTTAGGTGAAGTGGTGAGATCTCACCTCTTTTTTCACCTGTTTTTTCACCCTGTTGAATTCATTGCTTTATAACTCTCTTCCTTGGTTTCTTTTTAGTTGCTTTCTTCACGTCTGTCTCCAACTTGACTGTCTTTCTTCTTCGGCCGTAATGATACCAGTTACTTCCACCAGTCAATGGGTCAAATGGTCTTTCGTAAGGGTTTCCATACATTCCATAGGGACCATACGGAAGAACTACTGGTGGAGAAGAAACATTTTCTTTAGTTCCATCGAATCTATTTAAATGCATTGTTTCACCTTTCATCTGGTCATTAAAGTCTTTTGCATGTTTTGCAAACTCATCATCCTTTCCTAAAGCATTTTCTGACTCAGTCGCAACCAAATTGGATGCTTTATTTATGAGCCCTATTTTATTTAATCTTAACTTCTTTGCAACCCAGCCTCCAATCTTCCCTTTATTTGCATCTAATGTCTTCGAAACCCTTCCTCCACTCATTTTATTTACTGCGTCATAAGCTCCAAGTGCTTTTGCTCCAAATGCTAATGCTTTTGTTCCCATTGCGCCTAAAGCTGCCCAAGCTACCATTTACCCCATATTAAAATCATCTCTCTTCAATATTATCTCATAAAAGTTCTCGTTACTGGAGAAAGTCAATGAAACATAAACGTTCTCACGGGCTTCGCCCTCACCGCTTTGCGGTCTATCTAACTTATTTCTTATATCATCTATACGCTTCAAAATGTCTGAACAATTGCTAACATCTTCTACAACAGTTATTTCATCATGAATGACCTTCAAGAACAAGCTCATTTAATATGCTATTAAAATCATTTCAATAATGAGTCCATCCTTTCCGTCTTTGGGTAGCACAACATCTTTCATTGAAGAAGGTTCGACAAGTCTTATGTTAAACTTACTGACAAAGTTTGTTATACTATAATGCTTCGGCGGCGAATACATGTAGTTTGAAAGACATAATATAGATTCTTCAGCAAATTCACTTATACTGGATTTTATAACAATGTTCTCACGGGACCAAATACCACCAATTGACAATCTTGTAAGCAATCCTGCTGAACCTTCAACTGTAAACGTCGATGGTAACATTCCACGAAGGTCATCTATTGACATCTTTGAGTCACTGAATTTAAATATTTTCTTAAAGCAATCGTCATTATCTAACCATGCAATAGCTTTGAAGTTTTCATTCGAATATACATCTGCTTCATTAAATGTAAAACCTGACTTCTTTGCAGAGATGACTTTAAAATCTATTGAGTTTGTTTCAAAATTATATGCTATGGTAACTTCTGAAGGTAATGGATGCCCTTCCGCAGTCAGTTGTTCTCTCACTACCGTTTGAAGCTTTGTATTAAAAACTTTCATGTCATCTCCTGTATCTAAGTTCACATACACAGCAACAGGAAAACTATCTTGCTTCTTTGTTTCATCATTATACCTCAAAACATTAAAGTTCTTCAATAATATTGTTCTTCCTGCTGGAATACTTCGAACCTGTCTGATTTCAATAGCTTTCTCACCTCCTACATACTCTACCCAGTGTCTTGGATATTCATAAGTATACTGACTTTCTTGAATTTTGGTTGGTTTCATCATAACGTGTTCATAGTATATCTTTATACTCTTGTCAGTTAGACTCGGTGCTATGTTCTGAATATTTCTGACTTGCATTTTTAATGGAGATAAAATGAAGCATTTAATACATGATGTAGATGAAGACATGAATGAAACTACAGACAAACTTAACTCTTCTCTTATTCTTCCTTTCAGCAAAGATTATGAATTCTGTTCAAATGGTGTTTATTTCTATTGTGGAAAGATGGGTCAGGAAAGACATTCAACCTCATTCGTCATATACTCATAACAGAGCGTTTAGGAAACGACTCTTACTATGACCAAATCATTATATCAGCAACTTCAGACTCTATGGACTCAACAGCGAAAACATTTATGTCAAAAGTTCAAGCCTCTATCGTTAAAGTTCCAGACAGTGAACTCATTGAATTTCTTCAACGTTACATTCGACGTAAGAGAAAATATTATGCCATCGTAGAGTTCATACAGTCAGGAATGCAAAAGACTTCTGAGGAGATGGAAAGAATTATTGACAAACACCACTTACGACAATACTCAGGAGTTTACGATATGAAACGACTTACAAACTACATTCTGTCAAAACTTTCAAAATACCCCTTCAAAAAGTATCCTTCAAACACTCTGCTCGTTTGTGATGACTTCGCCGGAAAAGGTTTAGTGTCAAAACCAGACTCACCATTAGCTAACATCATAACTAAAGTCAGACATTACCACTTAACTGTAGCAATACTTATGCAAACATGGAGGTTTTTAGCTTTAAACATAAAACGTCTCATAACTGACTTCGTTATCTTTCAAGGTTTCTCACGCTATGATATTGAACTCATTTGGAAACAGTCAGGTATAACATTACCTTTTGAAGAAATTTGGGAAGCATATAAGTCTCTCATCTCTCCTCGTTCATACCTTGAGATTCATATCATGACTAATACCATTAAAGTCAAAAATATTCCATGGGAACGACCAACATTGTTTTAAAGTTTAACCTTCAATTGACTGATGGTAAACAAATTCCATGCATCTCTGTCG